AGAAATTGAAAATACAAAACATATGTATTACAGATTCTGAACTTTGTAATTATCTAAACCGTAGTAGAGACTGGGGTTTACAATGTAATTATTTAAAAAATGCACTATATTATAGAAATTTACTAGTCGGGGCATTTAATCGTTGGTAGAAATTTATTTTATTTATTAGCCGAAGGTTATGGGTACGAATCCCGCTCGAAATACTAATTTTTCATCTTAACCAAAATTATTAGATGTTTTCGCTGAGGTATTTTGTTTTGTTATTAAATAGCTTCATTTATAAACATTATTATTATTAAATCGATTTGGTTTCGTGGTCCGATTGACCAATTAAATTCTTTTTAATTAATTAATCTCTAAGTAAGGTATTGGTCGAGATAACATTTCATTTGTCGCCGAGAATCAAATAGATTGCACGACATTTGAAAAATGGCAAAAAAGGAGGGAAAAATTCAAAAAAGGTGAGGTTGAGGTTAGTGTCCGAGTGGATCGAAGTCACGATAGCTCAAGTGGTAGAGCAGCGGCGTATCAAGCCGAAGGTCGTGGTGGGTTCGAATCTCGCTCGTGGCACTGACTTTTTTATCTCGACCAATACCTTACTTAGAGATTAATTAATTGAAAATTATTATTATAATATTATTATTAATTTTTAAGGGCGTTTTAAAGGGTAAGGTCATTTTACGCCCTAACATTTTAATTAAAACTTCTACCTTAGGTTAGCTGTATCCCTTTTGGTGCTATAAAGCTCTGACTTTAAACATTCACACATAAAGTAATCTATCCTATTGCCATCCGAAGCTTTAATTTAACCTTTTAAAATTCTTAATTTGGAAGGCTAAATGTTTGCAAAAGAAAAAAAAAGAAATTTAAATTAAAAAATGTCTTCCTGTTCTTTAATTAGAATTTCGAATTTTTGTTCCATAATTTAATCATTTCCCATAGGCTTATATGGCCAATAATAATGGAGTCAGACTAACAACAGGCTCATCGTTATCTTTTTATTTTTCCATTCAAATTTGATAAATAAACTAATGCTACTTAACAATAATAAGAAGAAAAAAACACTTTTTTTGAGGGAGCTATCTTTTTTATTTAAATTGCGATTTTGGGCATTGTAGTTTATTACCCTGCAATTTGTATTTTCTTCTATTTCATTTTTCCGCTCCGGCAGCCTCAAAAATTACTCGAAAAAAAGAATTCCTGCACGCAGAACTCTTATACAAACACTAGCATTCAATGGTATAACAATTACGGAAAAGGCCTAAATCTCATTATAAATTCCAATAAATTTGAGAAAGCTGAAAAGTGCTCTTCGAAACAAACATTCGGGACCCAGTAACTCCTTCAAATTGTTCAAAAGGTTGAGCCTTTGCCTAAAGGGTTGCAAAGTGCGACAGTCGAAAAAAAAACGTTGTGCTTTCAAATATATTATTACTATTATTAGTGAAGCGGGATTCGAACCAACAACCTTCGGCGAATAAAGTTTATGTATATGGTGTAAATCATATACTCACATAACGTATAACCTTTATATTACTTGAGTTTTTGTTGTTTTTGCTAGTTTCTAATAATTGCTCCTATGGTAGGTTTTGAAAAAATAACATTACTCTTTGGTTTAACTCATGAGGAAATTATGTAATCAGTACAATATTACTGTAGAAGTAAACGAAAATTAAGAAAAAACTTGGGGAAAAAATTTAAGTAAATTAATTTTTTTAATATGTGTTTAGTAGAACTGAGGTATTCATATATCGAATACCTTTTATGTATATTTACAGAACGGATAGTCGACAAAAAATGACTTTGTGCTCAATTATATTATTATTATTGAAGCGGGATTCGAACCCACGACGTTCGGCGAACTGAGGTATTCATATATCGAATAACTTTTATGTATGGTGTCAAACCTATATTCATGTAAAGAATACCCTTTATGCGTATAGTGTATAATCTCTATTCATGTACAATATGACGGATGCATAAATGTACTAGATAACCTTTTCTTCATATAATGTATACCTTTATGTTACTTGAGTTTTTGTTGTTTATAAATTGTTCCGCTGGTAGGTTTTGAGCATAAAGGTGGCCATTCACGATAACTCCAAATGGAACCGCGCCAAGCCGTACAGCTCCATTTGGAGTGCCTGAAATTTGAGGGGGCATTCACGACCGCTCCACAGCCAGTCGCTTCGAACGTCAACCAGTGAATTACCTTCTCAAAATGGATGACGATCTCTTGTGCTACCGCTTCTGTTTATTTATATAATAAAGGGAAAAAATCGAAGAGGAAAGGGTGTAAGAAGTGGCTTCTGAACAGAAGCCGTAATACCCACATCAATTTGATGAAAGATCTTTCCTTTGAACCCGCTGATTGGAGGAACTATTTAAGATGAAACGTCTTATTTATTCATTATATTTAGTGTTCTGTTGACCAAATTACTTCTTTCAATTAATGAATCTTTTTTGTAAGGTTTTGGTTGAAATGAAAAAGCTAGTGCCACGAGTGGGATCTGAATCCATGGCCTTCGGATAAATACGCCGCTGCTCTACCAGTTGAGCTATCTTGACTTCGATCCTCTCCGACACCAAAAAATGGCAAAAAGAGAGAAAATTCGAAAGGTTGTAGGTTGAGATGGGGAGTTGGTCCTATTCGATCGAACTATCGAAGTCACGACAGCTCAAGTGGTTAGCGCAGCGGCGTATTTGGCCGAATTACCCTTGTTACCCCCTTGATTAGAAAACAAAAGACAGCCATGAGAGAAATCATCAGTACATGAAAGGTTGGCAACCACATTACGATTTCTCGCTACAGGGAAGAAATACAAAGAACTTAAGTTCTATACTACGATTTCTGATCATTGTTAGGGGTTATCAATACAGCATCTCTCGTTGCATTTGTATGTACGACGGAGATGTTTGCGCAGTGACGGAAAGACGGAGACTGCGCCAAAAAAACGCTGGTTTTCCCATTCACGACCAAGCCAGCGCTTCAATATTCCACCGTTCACGCCAGGTTTTCCATTCACGAACGCGCCATGTCGTCGCGCTATAGATATTTGGAGTGGCGCGATGGAGTTTGGACCGGTCGAATATTCGGCACAGCCAGTTCAGTTTTGCCACCGACGTGGTTTTTGGAACGGCGTCGCTCCGTTTGGACTGCTAGGAGCGATCGTGAATGACCACCTTAAGTTCCGCGTTCGTACTCACTCCATCAACAAACTGAGACAGACGACAATCGCCAACAACAGCTGAAAGAAACTATTTCACTCGGGGATGATCTCGGGTATAAGAACCGTAATAACTCAAAGCCCAATCCGGGATTGAAATTTAATTTCGGTCAAATATGATGGACGATGCTATTTCAAAATAGGTGCGGCTTGCAATGCGCCAATAAAGCAAATATAAAGCTTCAATGACAACGCAAGGCCTCATATTTTACTGATGAGATGTTATTGCACACGTGCAGCTTCGCCTACGCCGTTCGCCATGGACAATAATTTTACTTCACTTCTTTTCCCCAATTAAAAATTATTAATATAGAGTTAGGAGGTTGACGTGACAAAAATTACTGAAAAATCAATACGAAAAGTAAATCTCGGTTAAATAATAAAATTTCATATATAATGGAGTGATGATCAACTCATTGATATAACTCTTTGTTAACAGTTGGAACTCGTTTTTCCTTTTGTAAAAAACACAAAACTTTCGTGTTTATGTAATGGAAGTCCCTACGGGCTTGGGGAGGGAAAGCCGTGTCAAGGCCTTTCCGGGTTAATTGCCTAGAGGTCGGGTGCGAAGTTGCAATTTTTAGCATTTTTGTCAAATCGTACCTTTTCCCATGTGAATTATTACAAAACCGGGAGCTGAAATTGTTGAGTAAACTCGCTGACGATAATTTTCACCGTTCACAAGGGAGATTATTTCTAAACGTGAACTTTTTAAGCTAAGTTTATATAGAGAGCGTCCGTTTTAGATGACCTGGTTGAATTTCTGTTGAACCAATGACGCTATAAAAAAAAAGTTTAATAATTTTTAGTGTAGAAATGTGTGGTGATTAGTGACCGTTAGTCGATGATTATTCGGAAATCGTGAGATGCGGTCCTGCGTGATGCAGATTTCAGAAAAACATTTTCTTTGTCGTTCCAACGTTTCGATCTTTATTGAGATCATCTTCAGGGCCTGGAATGGCACAATTACACAGAAAACAAACACTGTGAGTTAGTAGAAATACTTTGATTGAATATAAAAAATATTTTTTGCATTGTAAAAATTCACTTTTTTCCACATCCTACATGTATTTGTTAAATTTAAACAATGTTTTTAAATCCCAGGCCCTGAAGATGATCTCAATAAAGATCGAAACGTTGGCACGATAAAAATGTTTTTCTGAAACCTACATCACACCAGACCGCATCTCACGATTTCTGAATAATAATTTTTAGTCCAGATTTAAATTTATACTTTTTTTTAGAAAACAAATATCTAGGGTACCTCAGGCTGAGTTAAACTACAAAATTTCAAACATGACCCTATACATCCTTACTATTTTTAAATATTTTGTACGCTGAAAACAATGGTGAAATCGGATTTTAAATTGGTCAAAAAATGACAAAGTTATAGCAAAAAATTCTTCATAAGAACGGAAGACTTTTCTTATTATTTTGATAGCTTGTTTCTCTTCAAATGCCATTTGACGGTGAGATCAATTATCGGCGGGGTTTAAGCGTTTCATTCCATTCACAGATTGATTTCAAGCATTCGAAGCAATTTTGTGAAAAGCCCTACGCAAATTGACGCAATTATATTAGTGAAGAGGGTCGGAGTCGGCGGGAATCAATTAGCCCTCAAGTCAGTGCGAAACTTATCCCGAGGGCCCTCATCGAAAAGTCCTAATTATTGCTGGAGTGGCTGTAATGAATTATTTATCGCCGGTCATCCTCTCGGCCGTGTTATCGACGGATTCTTTGGAGATAAAGCGTTATGTACTTAAAAACATTTACCTGGTTGTGCGGCTGTTCGATAATCATTTCCTCGCTGCTTGGCGCCTGAAAATAAAAGATAAAATTAAAAGACGGCTTTCTAAAAGGTTTACAATGGGGTGCTGTCTATATGTGCACTTCATGCACCTCGGAACTTTCAAAAGTGATTGAAGAACTAATGTTATGTGACGTGGATAAATTGCAATACAAGTTTGTATCTAATGATGATGTTTTGTTGATTTATCGACCAACTTATGCAGATAATGTTCTTTTGATTGTTATCAAGGATGTTGTCAAAGAAAATACTTTAAATTTAAAAAATTCAGTTTTTTACGGTAAAAAAACGGTTTAAGCATTGACACTGTAAGGTGAAGGTCCCGGGTTCGAATCCAGCGGCCCTGCATTCGAACCCGACATACAAATGGGTTTTTTTTTCAAAAACACCGGAATCCTGAGGGTTGATACGACCTCTGCTGTTGGGAACCCTCGTTTAAAAAAATTAGAATTTTTTCTCAGGTACGTTTTATATCCTGTTCAGAGATGGAGCTTTTACCAAATTTTCCCTCTCCTTTGCATTCACAGATCATACTAAATTATTAGCTATAAATCTCTTTTTTTAAATAAATTGCAGTTTGATATAAATGGGTTAAGTTCAATATATAGGATTTTAAACGTTGGCCATACATGTTTTTAGTAAAATGTATATAAATATATATGATTATTTATTTAATCTGGCCTGGTGAGATGTAGGTTTCAGAAAAACATTTTCTTTATCGTGCCAACGTTTCGATCTTTATTGAGATCATCATCAGGGTCTGAGATTTACAAACATTGTTTAAAATTAACAAATACATGTAGGATGTAAAAAACAGTGAATTTATACAATACAAAAAATATTTTTTATATTCAATCAAATGTATTTATATTGAAAAATGGCAAAAGGAGGGAAAACTCATAAGGTGGGGTTGAGATGGGGAGTTGATGTCCGAGTGGATCGAGGTCACGATAGCTCAGGTGGTAGAGCAGCGGCGTATCTAGCCGAAGGTCGTGGGTTCGAATCCCTCTCGTGCCATTAACTTTTTTTCATCTCAACTAAAAACCTTAATTAATTGTCTTGTATTTATATTCTTATTTATTAACTACTTATTTGGATTGCAATTTATCTGTTAGGTTTCGTGGTCCGATTGACCAAATAAATTCTTTTCAATTGATTAATTTTTAATTAAGGTTTTGGTCGAGATAAAAAAGTCAGTGTCAGGAGCGGGATTCGAACCCACGTCCTTCGGCTAAATACGCCGCTCCTCTCCCACTTGAGCTATCGTGACTTCCATTCACTCGGACACCAACTTCCCATCTCTACCCAACCTTTCAAATTTTCCCTCCTTTTTGCCATTTTTCAAATGTCGTGTGTCAATTAGGTTTCGTGGTCCGATTGACCAAATAAATTCTGGAAAAATGAATGGCAAAAAGGAGGGAAAATTCAAATAGGTGGAGTTGTGATGGGAGGTAGGTGTCCGAGTGGATCGAGGTCACGATAGCTCAAGTGGTAGCGTATTTAGCCGAAGGTCGTGAGTTCGAATCCCGCTCGTGACACTGACCTTTTTTATCTCGACCAAAACCTTAATTAAAGAAAAATCAATTGAATTTGTAATTTATGTCGTACTCCTCCCAGGATATAAACCGTACCTGAGAAAAACTTCACAATAGTCATTGTTTTATTTTTTTTTTATTAATTACCTGTGATATTTTGTAAAACTAGACTGGTCATTTCATAGTGGAAAAGGTGAAAAAAAAATGAAACGGGTTTCAGTGTTAACATGAAAATAAAATAATTTAAAGTTATACACGTCTGATTAAAAATCAGTAAATACAAAAATGTTTGTCTTGTTGTAATATATATTTGATGTTAAATTCGCAAAAATTAAAATATATAATATATTCTTTTGTACAGCCCCATTCTTTTGTAAAGTGAAGAAGGTACAATAATGTTACGCAGGCTAGGCGAAGATTTAAAATTAAAAATGTTTTCTTTGACGACATCCTTGATAACTACCAAGAGAACATTATCCAATGATGATGATTCAAGCAAATGGGTTTACCTTTGTTTTTAAGAAGACACCACGAATATGTACAAAGAAAAGAAAATAGTAAAGTTATAGAAAGTGATCTATACTAAAAAGCTTCTTAAAGGATAACTGAGTACGGTTCACTAATTACAAACTGGATTATGTTGCTAAAAGGGTTCGTAACGTATTGAAACATGAACTTGGGCAAAAATCTCCCGCCGGGGTTGGGTTCCAGGAAGGGGATAAATTGGAAGGGACTCGCTGATCCTCAAGGCACACAATGGGATTAGACGAGAAGGGAAAAGGGCAGTTTATTTTTAACATTTAACCTTCCACGCCGAGGTTTTGTCGATGTGACCGATAAATTTTACCAATGCAGTTTACAACAAAAAAGAAAGATCGACGCGGGTTGGAAAAGGTTTTGTGGAAGGCAAACAGATTAGGGTTGATCCATTAAGCGGGATGATCAATTTGCTGATATCTCCTTAACTATTAGAATTATTGAGTAAATAAACCTCAAATTTATTTACAACACAAAACGTTATATTGTGAATATACTGTTCTTTAATAGTATTGCCATGAAGTTTCCATATAAAGAAAAATCTCCAATACGTGAGATTAAGCAAAGTTGTACAATTGCAAATAAATTTCCAACCCCTTTACAACTCACAAATATGCTTGTAACTCGAAAAAACAAAACATGGATTAATTATCAAAATTATGCATACAGATGTACAAGCTACATAAAGCATTATGTATTAGGGATGATAGCGTCAAGCTAAAGCGGCGAGCTTAACGCCAACTTAACTGCGCTGACATTAATCTCATTGTATGGAGGGCTTTGAATTATTACGAATGGTTATTATTTTAATGTATAACAAATTGTAGCAAATGCGCTTCTCTGTTTTTTCTTTTTTGTGTGTATTGTATTCCTGGATTATACACTGCACCAAATTTTCTTTTTTTTTTGTCTTTACTTTTCCCTTGGCCAATGACGTATCAGCCTTCGAGGTTGATTTAGTGGTTGGAGGGAGTTGTGACGTAGACGAGCATTGATTGATGACGGGAAGGAGTTTTTACATGAATGTTTGGTTTCGTTTTAGGTTAGATTGACTTTGATTAGATTTTACTAGTGACGATTGACTTCGTTTTCCTAGTATAAGCCCCAGGGGTCTTTCTAGCTCCTAAGATATAAAGGAGGCAGGTGTTCTGACTGGAAGCCGAAGTGGGGTAGGAAGATTTTTAAAAGGAAAAAGCCCTCTTGATACATTTATTTTTACTGTTTCTAATGCGCCATGTCGTGCACCATAATTCACTATCAACTCCCTATAGGATTGAAAGCACGGTGTGCTTGAATGTGTGATGAAGATAAGCATGTCATAGGCATAGGAGCCGGAGAACGGAACTAACGAAACTACCTCAAGGGAACATATTTACAGATTAATTCAGCACTTCGGTTCCTGAAAAAACAGTGACATATATATAGAATTTAGGTTCTAGATTGACGGGAGGAAAAAAAATCTTGATATAAGCCTGAGCGCAATGTGATAAACGCGAAAAACGCAATGATTCTGGTGGACAGCAGAGGATAAGATTGATACGGTGTTCTAAGGATTAATGGTGCTGGAGGTGAAAAAAGAAGCAAGAGGGAGATTACAAAATCATCCATTATAGTGGGGAAAGGAGCTAACATTAGGAATCGAAATTCCTGAAGGATTTTCACACTAAAATTTATTGCGGTTTGATGTCGATATGCCATCATTTTAAAGTAGGTCGCGCTGAACGAAATTTTGGAGTTTGTGGTTGCTGTTCATAAGGTCCATGATTTTTCTTTGGTAGTAGCAAAAACTAATAGCCAATGAAGCATAGCATATTAAACAGGTTGAATCCTTTTTTAAAAAAAAGATAGTTCCTACTCACAGTAAGTTGTTTTGGAACGATTCGGATATCGAGCCCTTTAGCTCATCATCAGATTGAATGACTTCCAAAACCACGTCTCTCGACATGAACTGCAAAAGTGAACCCGCCGATACCTCCGCCAACGCGACGTTCTAAAAGAGCAGCTGGTTTTTCAATGGCGCTCAATTTGAACGAGCGAAAAGCGGGAATTATAACACAAATATATATTGTAATAGTAAATACTGAAATAAATTAATTATAAATTAGTGATTAAAGATAAAAGATAAAAAATTAGAATGATACCATAATATTATTAAATTATTATAAAAATATTAAGGTATCATTGTAATTTTTTATATTTTATCTTTAATCACTAATTTATAATTAAGTAAATACTGTAAGAAATTAATTATAAATTAATTTGTTATTATTTTTATAATAATTGAATAACATTAAGGTATCATTCTAATTTTTTTTTTATATTTTATCTTTAATCACTAATTTATTAATTTCTTATAGTATTTCCTTAAAAATAATAACAATTAAATTAATTATTTTAATTGTTATTATTTTTATAATAATTGAATAACATTAAGGTATCATTCTAATTTTTTTATCACTAATTTATCAATTTCTTATAGTATTTCCTTAAAAATAATAACAATTAAATTAATTATTTTAATTGTTATTATTTTTATAATAATTTAATACTATTATGGTATCATTCTAATTTTTTATCTTTTATCTTTAATCACTAATTTATAATTAATTTCTTACAGTATTTACTATTATAATATTTATTTGTGTTATAATTCCTGTTTTTCGCTTGTTCAAATTGAGCGCCATTGAAAAACCAGAACTGCTCTTTTAGAACGTCGCGTTGGCGGAGGTATCGGCGGGTTCACTTTTGCAGTTCATGTCGAGAGACGTGGTTATGGAAGACCTACAACTTGATGATGAGCTGAAGGGCTCATAATTCGCATCGTTGCAAAACAACTTTCTGTGAGTAGGAACTATCTTTTAAAAAACAAGGTTTGAACACCACACTCACTCCATCATTCATCATTTCTATTAAACAGGTTAAAAGGTAATGTAAGATGT